AAGCTCGTATGTAATAAAATTGAATCTTTAAATAAAAAAGTGACTAAATTTCGATTACATTTGAAGTTGTGGCTATTTTTTAATTATCAGTTGTAAATATAACTATTTTTTATTTTTTTCCCGGTTTTGCCCTAGACCTGCTGAAAATTTGGGTTATTTGCACAAATAAGACCATTTCATGCTATTATTTAATTTTCGGAAAAGGGTTAAAAAAAGCCCTTTACTATTCGAAAAGGATCATTTATACCCTCCGTTATACTATTGGTCCATCACAACCCCGCCGTCGTAGAATTGGTGCATAAATACCCTTCTACCGTTAGGACCCTCCACAATGGCAATATTATCCTACGTGGCCTGACGTATGAGGTGCATGCTACATGGATGCCACCTCATAACACCTATCCCATATACCCTTCCCCTACTTCTTCTTCCACCATCACCTTCTTCTGTCACCGTTCCTCTCAATTCTCATTAATCTCCCTTTCTATTTGTCTGATATCTTCCTAGACACATAATCTATTCTTAATCTGAATCTAATTCAATTTATCAAATCGCTGATTTCTATAAATAAAAGAAAGAAGAGGAAAATAGTGAGGCTTCGGCTGATGATATATTCTAGGGTGTGCAAATTTGTTGCCGTGTGAGAAGAAGAAGAGAGCGGCTTCAATTTGAGATTGAGTTCTGGATCTGTTCGGTAAATAGCGGCTGAAAAAATGAATGCAGTTCTAAGGTAAAGATCTGGAACATCGACGGCGCATCACCCGGCAATACTACGATAACTTCCTAGAGAACTCATCCAATGGCAGACAGATTCAATCAACTAATTTTCAACACCTTCAAACTTCAAATAATAACTCAACAGATGACATATCTCTTTTGCATCAAACTTTAATTGGTATTTTTCGGATGAACAAGCCCATATATTTATATTCATCAAAAGAGAAAAAGAGAAACTCATGAGGCTTAATTGCCAATGTAACAGAGACAAGAAAAATAAAGCAAAGAAAATAAAACAATGAGAAACATCCTTTGGTTGTAGACTTGTAGGTGTGCTTACTTGGCCACAATTTTATGCTCAATTCAGAGAGTTGGGCTTGTGAAGGTTTATTCTGAACAATGATTCTTAGATTTGATGATGAAAAAGAATCTGAGTTGGACTGAGCATCCATGGAATAAACCAAAGATAGAAGCAAGGAAAATATGTAATGTACCATTTCTTCTTATCTCTCTCAGAGGTACACTGCGTAAAAGTTCAATCTTCTAATTTCTGAGGTAAAGGAAGAACGAGTAGGGTAGGCGTAAAATGGGATAGGTGTGATGAGGTGGCATGTCATGTGGCGTTCATCTCAGCAATATGTCAGGCCACATGTGATAATGTTGCCATGGTGGATGGTCCTAACGGCAGAAGGGTATTTATGCACCAGTTTTATGATGGCTGGGGCTTTGATGGACCATAGTATAACGAAGGGTATAAATGATCATTTTCAGATAGTAGAGGGATATATTTGACCCTTTTCCGTTTAATTTTTGTTCCCGTTTAAATAAGTTTTGTAAAAATAGGTCTGCAGGGCATAACTTGTTCAAAGTTAAGCTGGATTGAGGCATAAGAGTTACTTTTTCAAAGTTATGCCGCTTGGTCTTATATCTACAAACTTTTAAAGTCGCGGACAAAATTTAAAGAGAAATTTTCATAAAGCACTATCTTTTAGTGGTAGTTAGTTATCTATAGATATCATTTGCTATATTACGGATTGTAGATACGTTTTCTGTTGTTATAAGATGTATTAGATGTATTTAAGCTACTGTATTCATGTATACAGTAGCAAAAATAGACATGAATCAGGGCAGTCCAGCTAATCAGTTGTTGTTTTCGAGTGTATTCGACTGTATTCATGGCGTGAAACATAGAATTACAGCTGGACAGATTATTGTATTCGACTGTATTCACGGCGTAAAGCAGGGGATTACATTGTTTTTAAACGGAAAGTGAATCAATTAACATAATAGACTCCTAATATAGCTCAACAAACTCAATTATAACACACAAATTTTGTGTCTTCAGTTATTAAAAAGATTTTCAACCAAAAAATACCCCAAAAACATAGCAATCTTCAGAGATATTATATAATACATTTGAATACATAAATTATATTAATTAAAAAAATATATGAATACATTAATAGAATATAGCGAGACAGTGAATACAATAAAATATATGGAATACAAACGAGATACACTGAAATATAATGGAAAAAAAGACAATGAATACAACGAAATACAGCGAGATACATTGAAATACACTTAAAAAAAGCTAACAGAAGTTGCTCAGGCCCAAACTCCGTCTTCTTTGTTCAAGAACAAACCTAATGTCGTCTCGTCGAGAGGGCCGCGATTCTGATTCGAAACTCTCAAAACCCGATGCATAATTACAGAGGTCAGTGGATAGAAGACGACTCCTTACCCAATCAAAAGGCAGACATAGGCTAGCGAAAGGTAATGAATCTAAGGAAGAGAATAACCACCATAATGAAGCATCGCCGAATTCTGTAGAATCAACTAGACTTGAATACCTGGAAAACATCCAATATTTGGTTGATTGCCTACTCTATCAAAACCAATCAATGTGGATAGATTACTTAGAGCCCATAACTGTAGAATAATACCGCAAAGAAAGAGACGTGGAAAAATAAAATATAGAATGAGAGAGAAAAATGAAAGAAAAAAATAATACAAAGAGTATTTATGGCTTAAGGGTAGGAGGTAACCATAAATAGATATTTGGCTATAAAAATCAAAAGGTAGTTATGGAATATAATTTTTTAAAAGGGTATTTATTTAAAATAAATAAGGTATCAACCTTTGCTATAGGAGGTAAAAATTCTAAATGTTAAACTCTAACTTTCAAAGTATTTTACTTTGAGAAACTATCAGCTATATCCATTTATAAGTAGTTTATTATAAAAATTAGCCAATTCATAAAATATTATTAATATTAACCAATTGGCTATTTGTAGCAAAATAAAAGGGTCAAATCTTTGCTTTTTTTTAGTAGGTGTTATTAGAATAGATTGGATACATCTTAAGGAGTTTGAATCTCAGTTTTGGGATGATTAGGCGGAGTTTTGAGGTGGTTTGAATTGAAAATTCGAAGTAGAAGATGAAGTTTGAAAAAAAATTATATGTGTATCAACTGTGTATCATATTTGTATTAAATATGTATTGCGTGTATATCCATGTATACCTATGTGAATACATGTTTGATATATGTGTTGCAGAATAATTTTTTGAACACGATTTTAATTACAAATTTTGATACCAAATCATTCCAAATCACTTCCAATCTTTTTCCAAATTTGTATATTGACTTATATGTTTTCAATGTATATATCACCTTATTTGCTACCTTATCCATGAAATTTTCTTTCCGTCTTGCATCTAATGTTGCTGATCACGCTTAAAGATATGGAAGGAGATTTTTGTGTGTGATTCTTTGAGAGAAAGAATCTTGTTTATTTTGGTTTTTAATTTTTATATGTGCTTGATTAGTTTTGGTAAGTCTATGATTAAAGGCTAGAGGTTGGTAAGTTGGAACTTATTTGTGATATTTTGTAAGATTCCTTTTTATTTTTGTAGTGTATGCTATATTATTCTATCGGACCGAGTATGCATAATATTAACATCTTGTAGGATATGTATAATATATGATTAATCAATTAAAATGCCTAATTTCAAATTAATTGATTGCCAATCATATAGATTGCATGTATTTATTTGTTCAAGTTGAGTTTATTTTATTTTAATAACAGTAAATAACTTATTTTTAAAGTAAAATTAGAGACTAGTTGTTGAGAAAGGGGTAACTTAAGTGTAAAATAGAAAGGGTAGAATAGTCATTCCACTGTCTATGTTAATTAACGAAAATTAGGATTCATTAGTTAGTTAATTACCTACCTACGCAATATATATGATTTTATTTACTACTGCTTATTTCTCTCTCTAACTTCTCTCTAGTTCATCTCTTCTAACTTTTCTTCATTCTAGGGTTCATACCCTGTTAATTCTCAATCAATTTCATGATATCAGAGCCTACGAGTTTGATAATCTAGTTCAAAATTATCGATCTTTTCTGCAATTACAGAAAGTTTATCATAAAGTTCTTGTGAATTCTTGTTCAAAGATAAACGAGCAGAATCAACAGAATCTGGGTCAAGGTGTAATTCATTAGCAACATGCATGGGAACAACTGAATTTCGGAGTTGGAAACTCATCAATTGGAACTTGAAATCAACCAATTGGAGTCGATTTTAATCATCCACTGTTCTTGTCTCCAACTGTTGTAAGTGATATACAAATTATCTCATTTTAACTCACAGGTATTGAAAATTGTTTTATCTGGAATCGATCTATGTGAGTTGCCTTAATAGGTAAGAACAAGTCAGGATTAATTGATGGTACATGCAAGAAAGAAAAATTTCCAAATATTTTATGGTATCACAAGGAAAGAGTAAATGCAATTGTACTCTCTTGAATTATGAACTCTGTTTCTAAAAACCTTCTTGGAGGAATCATGTATGCTTCTTGTGCCCAAGTAGTGTGGGAAGATTTATCTGAAGGTAGATGGTTCAAGATCTTTTAACATTCATAAAGAAATTGCAACTCTGTCTCAAGGTACTGCATCTGTATCTGTATACTTCTCAAAACTTAAGGATATGTGGGACTATTTGAAGCCTTGGTACCAGCACCGGGCTGTGATTGTCCTAAATCTAAGGATTTTGTTGTATTAATTTTTAATGGGGCTTAATGACTCATATGCTCAGGCTAGAAGTCAGATTTTAATGAGGAGTCTTGTACCTACAGTTAATCAAGCTTATGCTATGATAATGAGTGATGAAGGTCAGAAATGTATAGCAGCCTCTACAGGAATTTTAGGAACCAACCCTGCAATGATGACAGAAAACTTTGATGCAGTAATGTATTCAAGATCCACAGGAAATCAAAGGTTCAAGAAAAACTATAACATTCAGTGATTTCTGTAAACTCAAGGGTCACAACAGAGAAAATTGCTACAAAATAGTGGGTTATCCACCTGATTACAGACCAGGGAAGAAAGGGGGAGCAGGAAACAATGCAACTTACAATGTCATTACAGACAATCTAACGCAACAGACATACAGTGGGTACAATGATGCAAGGGGTCATTTGCAGAATTTGACTATGAATACAAATCAAGCTCCTACAACTACTGAGGACCAAGGATCTATAGCTGGTCTTAATTTCAATCAACTCAATCAGATGACAGGTTGCACATTCTCTAGAGAGAAATATGATCAGATTCTTCAGCTTCTCAATAGAACAGGAACTAGCCAGTCTTCCAGCACAATGTCGACTCCTGCAGCCAATACAACAGGTATTAGTTATGCTCTGATGGTTTCTAGTAGTCTACAAGAGTGGATAATAGACATGAGCCCTAATCACATGGTAGATGATCTGAATATGTTAAACAAGTCATCTATTCTTCAGTCTGAAAAACCAAAGAAGATATTTATGCCAAATGGAGATATTTCTTATGTTACTCATACTGGTGCTAGCACTATATCAGAAGGGAACACAGTTACTAATGTGTTTTATGTTCCATCATTTAAATTTAATTTGTTATTTGTGTCTAAACTGACAAAGGAATTGCAATGCTCAGCAACCTTCTTTTCTGATTTCTGTGTATTTCAGGAACTCTTCAGTGGGAAGGTGAGGGCAATTGGTAGAGCAGATGATGGACTTTACATACTAGAAAGATAAGCTATTGGAACATCTTTAGCAGTAACATATGGAATAAAAGACAAGGATCAGACAATTTCAACTACAGCAAAAGATATTGAATTGTGGCACAGAAGGTTTGGTCATGTTTCAACTACAATTCTTAAGAAGTTACTTCATAGATCATAGTAAAGCAGATCTCATAGCTGATACTGTAAAACAATGTGTAGTTTGTCCTTGTGCTAAGCAGACAAGGTTACCATTTCCAATTAGTAGTATTGAAATTGAAAGTAGATTTGATCTAGTACATATGGATCTATGGGGGTCATATAAGACCCCTACATATGATGGTAATAAATTCTTCTTGACAGTTGTTGGTGATTTTTCAAGAATGACATGGGTATTCTTGCTCAAGTAGAAATCTGAAGTATGTGTATTACTACAACAATTTTTGGTATTAGTTAAAACTCAATTTGACAAGATAATTAGAGTTATCAGAACTGATAATGGCACTGAGTTTATACACTCAGTATGCAGTGAGATTAAGAAACTTGGGATTATTCACCAAACTTCATGTGCCTATACTCCTCAGCAAAATGGAGTTGCTAAGAGGAAGCACATACATATTCTAGAAATCACCAAAGCTATTAGGTTTCAAGCTGAAATACCAATAAGATTTTGGGGTCACTGTGTGAATGCTACTGTTTATCTCATAAACAGGATACCAAGTGTTGTTATCAACAATAAAACTCCCTATGAAAGACTATATCATAAACCACCTTCTTATTCTCATATGAAAGTATTAGGATGCCTATGTTATGCAAAATTAGTTCAACAACATGACAAAATGTTATCAAGAACCAAAATTGTAGTCCATATGGGATATGCAAAAACTCAAACAGGATACCTATTATATGACCCGAAGGATAGGACCTTCTTTGTTAATAGGGATGTAGTGTTCAGAGAAGATGTTTTTCCTTTCAAGAAGAAAGAAGACTACTCAGTGCCTATATTCCCAACCTCAATAACTTCACATTTACAGAACATTCAATGTTCAGTACCTCAGTGTGTACAAGCACATGATCAAATATCAGTTCAAATTTCAAGTGATATTGTGGAACCAGAACTTAACCATACCTTAGAAACTATAGAGGAGCTACCTCAGGGATATGAAGAATTTGGTAATAAAACTATACACAATACAGCTCAAGAATTTCAAGACCTAGCCACTGAGATGCCATCTACAGAATTCACACCGATCATAGATCCAGTGGTCCAATCTGGATATAGAAGATCTTATAGGGAAAAAAGATCACCTATATGGCTGAGTGACTTTGTGTCACTTAATATTCATCAAAAGGTTCCATAATCTATCTCAAAATACATTACTTATGAAGGACTGTCCCCAGCTTATCAAGCATACATAGCCACTTCTTCAAGTATAACTGAGCCTACAACCTATTCAGAACCAGCCAAAGGTCCAAGATGGATAGAAGCGATGAAAGCAGAAATTGATGCTTTACAAAGTAATCATACATGGGATATAGTTTCTCTTCCTGAAGAAAAAATACCAATATGGTGTAAATATATTTACAAAGTAAAGTACAAGGCTACAGGTAAAATTGAGGGATTTAAAGCCAGATTAGTAGCAACGGGATATAGTCAAAAGGAAGGAATTGATTATTAGGAAACTTTTTCTCCAGTAATTAAAATGAAGACAGTAAGAATAGTACTAGCAGTTGCAGCAGGAAAGAAGTGGCATATACGCCAAAATGGATGTGTATAATGCATTCCTTCAAGGAAATTTATATGATGAAATATACATGGAGCTTCCACAAGGAATTAAGAGCCAGGGGAAGAAGAAAATAATATGCAGGCTCATCAAATCCTTATATGGCCTAAAACAAGCTCTAAGACAGTGGAATGTAAATTTGACCGAAGCCCTAACAAAGTCTGAATTCAAGCAAAGTCAGTTTGACCACTCCTTGTTTATTAAGAAAATATCTGAAGGTACTACTATGGTGTTAGTATATGTTGATGATATGCTTATAACAGGTGATAGTCTGAGTTTCATTGAAGAAACAAAGAGCATATTGCAACAAGCTTTTAAAATGAAGGATTTAGGTGAGATAAAGTACTTTCTAGGTATTGAGTTTGTAAGATCTAAATAAGGGATACTGATGCACCAAAGGAAATATGCACTAGAACTCATTTATGAGCTTCGATTAAGTGTTGCTTAACTTTGTGAAACTCCTTTAGACACTAATGCTAAATTGACAACAAAAGAGTATGATTATCACTGTAAAAATGACAGTCAGTTAGCAGATGAACCTTTTGCTGACATCAAATCTTACCAAAGATTGATAGGTAAACTACTCTATCTAACAATGACGAGACCTGATATTTCATTTAGTGTTCAAACCCTCAGTCAGTTCTTACAACAACCTAAAAGATCTCATATGGAAGCAACTATGAGAGTTGTTAAGTAAGTCAAGAATCAACCTGGAAGAGGAATTCTGCTATCAAGCTCAACCAACAATAATATCACAGCTTACTATGATGCAAACTAGGCAGCATGTCCAATTTCCAGAAAATCAGTAACAGAATACTTAATCAAGATTGGAGACTCCTTAGTTGCTTGGAAATCAAAGAAACAAGCTATAGTATCTAGGAGCTCTGCAAAGGCTGAATACAGAAGCATTGCAGCCATAGTAGCTGAACCCATTTGGATACAAGGACTGATGCAGGAAACTGGGATTGAAGTAACTCTACCTATTGGAGTGTACAATCATAGCAAGACTGCTATGCAGATTGCAGCCAATCTTGTATACCATGAGAGAACTAAACACATCGAAATAGACTGTCATTTTATAAGAGAAAGGATAGTGCAAGGTCTGATAGCAACAAGATACATTCCTAGCAAAGATCAACCAACAGATATTCTTACCAAGGGTCTCACCAGATTTCAACATGAACATCTAATCTCCAAGCTAGGAGCTCTCAACATTTTTGCACCACCTAGCTTGAGGGGGAATGTTGAGAAAGGGGTAACTTAAGTGTAAAATAGAAAGGGTAGAATAGTCATTTCACTGTCTATGTTAATTAACAAAAATTAGGATTCCATCAGTTAGTTAATTACCTACCTATATAATGTAAGTCAACATATTTTCTAACACACGCAATAGATATGATTTCATTTCCTACTGCTTATTTCTCTCTCTAACTTCTCTCTAGTTCATCTCTTCTAACTCTTCTTCATCTCTAGGGTTCATACCTTGTTAATTCTCTATCAATTTCTTTAAAATAAATATTCTCTAAATCTTACATTTATCCAATAGTAGGAAATAATGTGAATTCACTTATACGTTGAGCTTTCTAGAGTCGATATCAAGATGGAATAAAAGATGAGGTTTGTAACAGGTTTATAACATAAGAATATGCATAACCTTTTTAAGTCATGATCAAGTATTTACAAGAAAGGGATCTTTACACAAATAGTCGGCTGGATTCATTGTTTATTTTTTTAGTTAATGTACATAAATTATACACAGTTATCTGCATATTATATATGAATTATATTATATTACATCATTATAGGTTATTTTTAATTAAGCAATTGGATAGGTGGCTATTTGAGTTAATTATTCTACAAAAAATACGTTTCAGAAGACTAATGCCCTAGACTCTCCAATAAATGTTTATGACATATCACTTCCTGCATTTTAGCTTGGTTGATTATAAGTAACTTAGCTTGCTTTTATATTCTGAAGATAATACTTTACTCCATGTAAGTGCAAATGCAAGTAGAACTTACTCGGCTTTTGAACGCCAACAAGCCAGTAAAACATAGCAAAAAAAGATTTAAGAGTCTGTCAGACAGCCATTGGACCATTGCAGACACCATTGTTGGAGCTGAGAACGATCATCCACGGTACCATAACCTGAAGGCTATGCAATTAGAACTTAATCGGCTTACGGTTCCATAACTCGAAGGCTATGCAATTAGAACTTAATCAGCTTTAGAACGCCAACCAGCTAGTAAAAACATAACAAAAAAGATATAAGAGTCTGTCAGACAGCCATTAGACCATCCCAGGCACCATTGTTGGAGCTGAGAACAGGCTATGTGTTTAGAAGAAGATATCAATGGAGGAAAAGAAGATGTCAATGACGGCTATTCACTCTCACAAGGAAGAAGAGAATGAGAGACAGAACACTTTAGGTTTAAGGACATTAGACTATGTTTCGGACATCTCTAGGACAAAGTCTAATTCAGCTTCAACATTGACACATGGCTTAATCTTGTCCCTTGATCAAGTTTATGATGGATTAAATAAGGACAGTCCGGCTTTCCAAGACTTAGTTTGCGACTTAATGCCAAGTCTCACGTCTTTAATTTATCCACATATTATAGAGCCTTAAAGAGTCACCATGTGATTTTGAGGGGTGCTGCGACGTTACTAGCATACTTATCCAAATTCTCACCCCTTCTCCTTAATCAACTTATTAATCCCCCACTAATTTAATAATTAATCAATTATTCACATAATTAAGAATTATCTCAAATTACTTATACTACTCACGTTTAACACACCTTATACACTTCACTATCATGGTCATGTGGTACCTTGTATGGTACTAGTCTATAAATACCGGATATTATAGCTCGGACTGTATTTATCCCAAATTGACAAGCTTCGACGAAATTCATTTCTTCGATTTGCTTTTCCTCTCACCTTCATGAATTACTTATATGAAATAGCATAATACTTATACCCAAAATAAATCTCATTCCCGAACTTACATCGATTAACTTACGNAGAGAAGAATATTATTCTGTTAGTTGGTTTCTACATAGCAAATAAGGAGTGGACAGCTGTATAGTTAGTTTTCTGGTTTTCTTATTTTTCCTTTTTCTTTCTTTACACAAATACTTATATAAATACACATGTTACTACAGATAATAAAACACAGAAAATTTCACAAAAAAAAAAATCTATTCTCATATTCATAATCTTTCGCAATTAGAACTTAATCGGCTTACGGTTCCATAACTCGAAGGCTATGCAATTAGAACTTAATCGGCTTTAGAACGCCAACCAGCCAGTAAAAACATAACAAAAAAGATATAAGAGTCTGCCAGTAAAAACATAACAAAAAAAATATAAGAGTCTGTCAGATAGCCATTAGACCATCTCAAGCACCATTGTTGGAGATCATCTACGGTTCCATGAACCAGAAGGCTACGGGTACTGTTAATCACGCTATAATCTAATGGCCATGATTCATCCACCAGATTTGGCTCTCTGTCTCCTTAGAACTCAAGGATACAGTGGTACGAGCCTATAGAACAGATCCTGTTCAAGTAAGGTCGTATCCGTCCAAGTTGCTTCACTGTTATATAAATAATACTTCCTTCCCTACATTGCTTGTCGATGTGGTACGTTGGACAGTACAAAAATAGAAAGTACTATTTAATTGACGTATTATTTTATTGTGTTTACAGGTCGATATAAAAAAGGACAACCACAAGCTATGTTATTGTCAACATCGAAAGATGTTCTAATTCTGACGTTAGTGGCGGCTGCATGATATTATGCAATTTCTGAGTAATTCTTTTTCCAATATTGCATTCTTTTTTGAAAATTAAAGAGTTTATATTTCAACTTTTCTTTCAGAAAATTCATTCAGTACAACTGGGATTTAGACAAGACAAGCTATTTGTATAAAAGATAAAAGGAAAAATACATAAGTTCCACTTGCACATTGCAACTTTACGCACGTTTATTTATCCCCTAAACTCTTTTATTTGGAATTATTCTAAATATTAATATCTGTATCATAATATGAGGTATTTTACCCACGAGCCACATAAGCACCACGTCACAAATCTTCTATCTTTTATAATTTTTACTCTTTTTTTTCTATCTTATACTTTTACACTAATTAGTCATAATTAACTACTAAAATCCTTCAATAATAATCATATCTTTTCATCACGAGGAAGGAGAATGGTCGCGCCCGGTGCCGATGGAGGAGGATGGCAGAAAGGTGGGTTTTTAGAAATGGTGGTTTTTCGGAAAAAGGAGAAAGGTAAGAAAAATTGGAAGAGACCTATACCTTTGTTTTTTATTTATTTATTTTATTGCATAATACACATATCATTAGCCGGGGCCCACTTTCTTTTTTTGTTTACTGCTTCTATATTTTTTATTTTTTTTTTGTTTTTTTGCCAGATAAGGCCTTAGGGTGGCAAATACTCAATCTGTTTAACCAAAAAATAGGAATTTCGGTCAAAGCCTATTTTTAGAAGTACGCGGGTTACTGATAATCAAGAAAATCAATATTCTTGCGGTAAGAAAGAAAATTAGAATAGCAAAGTAATCAGTAGAAAGCAAAAGTAAATAATTGTATTTGTATTCCAATAATAATCAGAACATGTCCATACAAATGACATTTCTTTTTCTCATATAGTCATCTCTAAGTACAACGTCTTTTTCCTTTTATGATCGAGTCATTATGAGCACTAATGACATTAATGAAACGTTATAATTGGTAATCGTAACTGTTTCGTGAAGATTCTGTAACGTTTGTAATCATTCATGCTCATTAATTGAAGATTAATGAATCTTCCCTTTTTATTGTCTTGGTTCATTCCACCGGTGCCTCTTCAAATCGCTAAAGAGACACGAGCAACCGTTTCTTCTCGTCTCTTAGACGTTTTGCTCGTACCTATTAAGACTCGCGTCTTTTTTAATACTCTTCTCCAGCTGTCACTTTTCTAATGATCCACATGTCTTGCCATGTCAGCCACATAATTAATTTCACGTGCAATATTTATTTTTCCCAATACAGATAGTCTCCCCCACATACCAATTATTCAGCAATTGAATATTTGGGAAGTGGATCTCATTTATGGTGGGAATTTTTGCCGTCGTTTCTCACGTACCATTGTACCTTCTTCTGAACCGATGCATCGTATGTCACTTCCATTTAATGCATGTGACATGTGGCAGTCATCGATTGGCTCTGCAACTGTGCAGCGGGTTTTAGGCTTTTTTGCGGCTGCATCAGTCACGAAGTGACAGTTTTCGTAATGACATTTCCATCATTACTTTTTTGCATGACGGTTGCTTCCGCATATAAATACATAATTTGCCTTTATTTTCACGAAAAAAATTTCTTCAGTATTTTTTATTCACATCTTGTTCTTGTTCTTCAATACGTTCTACTTCTTCATACAACTATGTCTTCTTCAAATCCTAATCCTCAAAAAGCTCTCATTGTAGACGAACTTCCCCTTTCTTCTGCTCCTACTAGAAGTAGGAGAGGTGGTAGGTTGCGTAGTTTAGGGTGAGTTTCTGTACGTGGTTCTTCTTTTCAACCCAGTTCTACTCCTCCATCTTCTTCTAGAACTAGGACTTTTTTTCCACATAAATCTTCTGCTAGAAATAGAGATTCTAGTGAACCGCTTCGTGAACCTACTGTCGACGAGATTATTCCTACTGAACTTTCCTTTGTCACAGATAGAGAACTAATTAAAAATCAGGTTACTTCCATGACTTCTCACGATCGCGCTGATGTTTACCCTTCCCAGATCACTGAGGGTTTAGTTTCTATTGTGCGTAGAGATTGCTATTGGAAATTTGACTTCCCGATTCTGGCCCCCAATGAGAATCAAAGGATCACTTCCTTTAAAGATGGTTTTTCTTTTGTGTATACATACCCCTTCACATTAGGTTTTAGGCCACCTATTGATCCAGTTATTATTAAGTTTTGCCGTTTCTTTGATATGTGTTTGGGACAGAGTGGTCCAATTATATGGAGGGCTGTGGCATGCCTTAGATACTTGTCAAATCTGGCGATTTTACCCTTCACCTTTTATCATCTGATTCATCTTTACTCTCCCAAATTATTTCGTCATGGGGTTTTTACTCTCGTGGCGAGAAGTAAGAGGGTTTGGTTAGCTCTGAAGACGCCAAAGATCATGGCTGGTACGCCCGATTTGTTGCTGCTCCTGCAAGTGAGTTAGTAGGTGAAGGAAACATGCCCTTCCCTGAGAAGTGGAACTTTGCACGTAAGTTTCTCTTCCAATCTTTTTTTTTGTGAAGAACTTGTACTCTCGTAACTGTTTTACTTTTCTTTTTCAGCAACTATGGGATCTATTGAGGAAATTCTGATTTCCGTGGTTGGGTAGAAAAATTGTTAACAATTGCTCCAATGGAAGAAAGGTCCTAGAAATATCTTTCAAACAGATTTGGATGGAAAGTGTAAACTCACGGTAACTTTCTCTTTCACTTTCTTCCTTATTTTCATTTTTATCTTGGCACTTATTAACCCTTTTCTTTATTAGGGTTTCCCATTCGGGGTGTGAGTGCTGCATCAATCACTGCTTCGAGGCTCTCTTTATCAAAGGCTCAAGAGATAATCTTGAGTTCCTCGTCAAAAAGAAAAGCTGATAGACCACATAACTCTGAAGATGAAGAGGAACGGGACAAAGGCTCGTTAGTTTGTATGCCACGAGTTAGAAAACGGGTCATTTCAGATGACGAAGCTACTCCCCCTCCTAGTTCTGTTCCCGTGCTCGAGCCTGAGAGTGCTACCTTAGTGAGTTCTGATGAAAAGACGCCTGCAGAACCCCATGACTCTTTTCTCGTGGATTTGATGAAGAAAGCTTTGGCTTTATTTCTGAGGAAATGCCTCTTGCCTCTTTTCCTATGTCTGCTCCAATTGAATCTCAGTTGCCCGTACCTGTTGCTGCTGCCACTGCTCCGCCCATGGCTATTTTGACTTCCTCGACTGTTCCTACTGCCACAGCTTCCCTTGCTAAAATTGGTTCCTCTAGTAGCAGTAGGGCGATGAAAGAAGTTACCATCGAGATTCCTGCAGATGGTAAGCTTTTGAAGAAACCAGGCCAAGCTGACGTATGCTGAAACCACTAATTGGCCCAATTGAGAAGTCTAAACTAGAAAGTCACAGCTCTCTAAATGTAAATAAGGAGAAAGATTCACCCAATATTGAATGAGGTGAATGATTCTTCCCTCTAACAATGATGAGTGACAAGGATATAAGAGAATATTGAGCACTTTTTCGGATTTGGTGGAAATGACAATAGAGAATCCCAAAAGGGTCGAATCTCTCCAGAAAGTTGTTCTTTGTATTTATCTAGAGAGCTTACTTTTCAAAAATGTTCTTATTATATAGGATATTACATGCTCTTTGACTTA